TGCCCTTCTCACCATGAATTCCAGTACCACCTTTTCTGGCAATACTACTTCTGAATTACATATTTCCTCATCTCTCACCATCAGAGATTGACTTGTTCTCGTATTTCTTAAAATCTTACTTCTTTACCTGCTCCTCCTGGCACAGATGAGTAAACCTTACCCATGAAAGTAAATTCTTTAAAGAGATCTGGGACTTTCCTCTCAACCAACTCCTGATCAGGTTGTACATTCTGGTGCAGCTTTTTGGCTTCTACTGTGCCTTCCTTTACCACTTCAACAAAATCCATTGGCTTCTCCTGTTTTCCCGTATCCATCTTCCCAGTGCATTTTTTAAACCACCAACATTGCAACTTCATGTGTGCTACTTTATTATGACAAAAACACCTGAGGTTTATTTATCTCTCTTCCCCACCTCATGAGCTTCTTTTTTACCCTGCGGTAAACAATTTTTTACTATCTTCAATGATATCTCCTTTTCCTCTACCACCTGAGGATTTCTCTTTTCCCTAATTTCTATCCCTTACAGACTGAAATTGATGTTGGAAGCTAAGCTTTGATTTATGAACAAGCTCATAATCATTGGCCATTTCAGATGTGAATCTTGCACACAAGTGCTCACAACTTCAGGATATGAATGTTTAAACTCCTTCATTTTAAGTCAACTTTTACTTTTCAGTTTCAACTTCCAAAATTCAAAAGTTCTCTCTTTATTCCTTTCTTCTGCCAGGGCTATTCCCCAGCAATTTCAGTTTTTGTTTTTGATTTTCAGCTTCTGCTATTCTTAAGCAATTTTTTTTATTGCATGGAGTCTGATAATAGACCTGAGAGTGGATCAAAAGGGGTTAGCTGGAGCTAAGAGAAACCCATGTCATAACAGCACTGGGGTGAGGTTGGGTAAAAAGACATGGAAGGTTGGAATCAGGCTCTAAAGTTATTGAACTTGATGATGAGTCCTAGAGGCTGCAGGGTTCCTAAGCGGAAAATCAGATGCTGTTCTTCAAGCTGAGACTGCCTCCCTCACCCATTTGAACCTATCTCCCTCTGAAATGGATGCACTCCATGCTCTCAGATCCAATCCCGACTTTGTAATCAAGTGTGCCAACAAGGGTGGTGCTGTTGTCTGACATACTGATCTCTACATTGGGAAGGCTGAGTGCTAGCTCTTAGACACCTCCCCCTGGACCATGACCCCACCATTAAGCATCAGGCCATTGTCTCCACAGCTGTCACCAACCTCACTTCATTCAGGGATCTCCCTATGACAGCCTCCCAGCTCACAGTCCCCCAAATCCGTGCAGCCTTCTTCTACATGCTCCCCAAATATTCACAAACAGGTCTGCCTAGCCAGACCCATTGATTCTCCCCACTCTAGCCCCACAGAACTTATTTTTTCCTAGCTCATCTTGATTTTTTTCTCCCCTTGTCCGGTCCCTTCCCACTTACATCCCCGATTCTTCTGCCAGTGTCAGAATTTCCAGTTTGCAGGCTCCTGCTGCCTTGTCTTCACCATGGATGTGCAATCCCTTCATACGTGTATCCCTCATCAGGATAGTCTCAGGGCTCACTACTTCTTTCTGGAAAGAAAGGCCTGATCCATCCCTATCTTCCACCACCCTCCTCTGCCTGGCTGAGCTTATCCACACTTTGAATAACTGCTCCTTTAGTACCTCTCTCCCTCTTCAGGTGAAAGGTGTGGTCATGGGTACCCACATGGGCCCCTGTTATGCCTGTCTGTTTGAGGGATAAGTGGAACATCCCTTATTCCAGTCCTACTCTAGGCCCCACTGACAACTGTTTCTCTGGGATATTGATGGTATCATCAGTGCTGCTTCCGTCTCTCATTCTGAACTGGAAAGTTTATCAATTTCACTTCCAATTTCCACCTTGCCCTCCCGTTTACTTGGTCCAGCTTCAATTCCTCCCTTCCCTTCCTCGACATCTGTTCCCATTTCTGGGGAGAGGCTGGCTACCAATATCCATAAGTCACACAACACCAGGTTATGGTCCAACAGGTTTATTTAAAATCACAAGCTTTTGATGCATGGTTCCTTCATCAAGTGAAGTGGAGGGAGGCGTACAGGCACAGAATATATAGGCAGAGAGATAATGGCAAGATAACTCCAGATAATTAAGTGTGTGGACAGATAAGTACAAATTGTGTGAGGAGAGTGTTCTCAGGCTGAATAACAAGTCTTTGCAGGTGATCAAGAGTACCAAAAGCTGAGTGAAGTGTCAACAGCTGAATAAAAAGTGAACCCTTAGCGGTCAAGGATAATCAGCCTCCAATCTTCAGGTAACGTCCTCCAAGGCGGCTTTCAAGATACACAACACAGAATCGCCGAGCAGAAACTGATAGCCAAGTTCTGTATTCATGAGGATGGCCTCAACCCTGATCTTGGATTCATGTCATGCTACACGTAACACCACCGTATTATTCTGAGTTTGTAACATCTTCCTCACTGTTCTGTTTGACACCATTACTTTGATTACTTATGATTACCTCTCTACCTTAATTAGTTTGCACAGTTTTTGATTATTTGTTACTTTGGTTAGACCCTTGTCATGCAACACTAATACCTGCCCTTTTTATTACAAACGTTTGGTTTGTCTCTAGCACCATCTTATTTTTGATTATTTGTAATCTCTCTGCCTTAATTAATCAGCTCATAGGTCGCTCCTTCAGTTGTTATTCAGCTGTTGACACTTACTCACACCATTTGACACACTTGGTCACCTGCAAAGACTTGTTATTCAGCCTGTTGGCACTGTTTGTTCTTATCTATTTACAATCTTAATTACTTGGAATTATCTTGCGATTATCTCTCTGCCTATATATTCTGTGACTCCCTCCACTTCACCGGAGGAAGGAGCGTTGCTCTGAAAATTTATGATTTTAAATAAACCTGTTGGATTATAATCTGGTGTAATGTGACTTCTGATTTTGTCCACCCCAGTTCAACACTGGCATCTCCACACCAATTTCTATTACAAACCTACTGACTCCCACAGTTACTTCAACTTCACATGCTCACACCCTACTTCCTGTAAAGATTCTGTTCCTTTCTCCCAGTTTCTCCATCGTTGTCATATCTGTTCTGATGATACCACTTTCTGCAGTTGGGGGAGGGGAGGGGAGGGGGGGGTGGAAAAAGAGGTGTCCTCAGAAATATCCACCTTTATCCTCAACCAAAGATTCCCTATTACCATGCCCAACATGTCCCTTAGCCGTGTCCAGCCCATCTCCTGCACTTCAACCCTCACTCCTTCTCTTCACTGCTTGATCATGCAGTGCATCATTTAGATCTGAAAAACGCTGCCTGTATGTGTGGGTGGATTCAGGTCCAATGATGACTTTCAAAAGAAACCAGGATCACGAATTGGTGGGGTGGGAGACAGGAAACTTGTATGGGTATAGGGAAGAGAAAAAAAAGAGTGGCATTAAACGCATTGTTCTTGTAGAGAGCTGGCACGGACACAGTGGGCCAAGTGGCCTCCTCTGTGCTCGATGATGTAATTCTTTCAGGGAGAGGTACTTGTGCACACATCTTTTTATAAACTTTAGCTAGCATCAAGCCTATCTAATGCCCCATCTGGACTCCGAACTGAGAGTCTGCATAACATTATAGATGTTCAACCTTTTGATAGTTAGCCGAATTAGTGATCCACTTTGGAAACACTGAATTCCCATTGTTTTAGCTATGCTTATAGTGGCCAATATTTTACCAGTAAAAGTACTAAGAAATCACAAGTGAGATTCTCTGTAAACCTAAAATTATTCAAAAATTGGTTGCATCATTTTCTGTTCAGCCAGCTTCTCTATCCCTGCCCCTGGGTTCCATCACCAGCAATGTATTAATTTAAAAATTCTCATCCTGGCTTTGAAATTTCTGTATGACCTCACCCTCCCTATCATTGTAGCATCCCCCAGCTCTCAAATCCTCCAAATCTCTTGCCTCTTGGAAACCTGTTTTGTTTGCCCCACCATCAGTAATGATACCTTGAGCTGTCAAGGTGTAGCTCTGAGTTCCATTTACTAGCCTCCTTTGAAATGCTCCATACAACCTACCTCTTTGTTCAAGCTTTCGGTCATCTTCCTTCATTATCTCCACATGAGGCTCAATGTCATGTGGTGTTAATGGTCCTGTGAATAACTTTGGTAAGCTTAACCAAATGAAAGTATAATGTAATTTATAGTGAATGTTTAAGGTGTGTGATTGTTTGGGAACTTTGATCTGAAAGTGGAGGTAAATGGGTTTTCAGTTCTGCGAAGGTGACTCGTTTTAAGGGTCACAGCTCATACTGTTTAGCTTTGGGTCAAAACAACATTTCCAATAGGTCATGAGACCCAAGCTAAACAGCTACACAAGCTACCTGATGAGGTAACTTGTGAAGCATTTACTAAGTTGAGCTTTTATAATCTGGAGAAAGAACAGCCAGAATCAGTTCAAATAAGATCCATACCTCCAAATGTGCTGTTTAGCAGCCAAATCATCAGAGAAAAGTTAACGAGTTAGCCTGTGTTTTGGAATTAAATGGAGAGAATCCGACCAGATGAACGTACAGCAAATTCCCAGAAAGAAATGCTTGCAATCTTGTCTGTTCAGTAATAAGTTAAATTGAAAACAGGATCAATACTTCACTCAGGCTCAGTATCTAAAAAGCGCATTGCTTGGGAAAAGGCTTGAAACCTTATTTTCACTGTTCACGATAAGATCTTTCTAAAATGTCTTTTATACATTTTTTTCCTCTTGTGTAATAAAGTTATGTTCTTTTGTTAGAAATACACTGGCAGTTTTTCCTGAATATACTCAGTCACTGACTTCCATGGCAAGCAAATTGCAAAAGTAAAACTTATTGTCTATCAATCCAGGTTCTACTCTAGAGTCTGGGTTGTCCAGTATTACCATCAGCTGCAGCATAATGAAATACCAGCTGTTGTTAAAGCCTTAATTGAACTTGAGTGGAAATGAGTAACTTTTGCTTTTTCAAGAAAACTCAAATTCATCCAAATGTTACTTTATTGAAAAACATTTCAATATTATTCTGCTAAATGGAACGGATAAGAATATTTACACATACATACCTCACATTAATAAGGTATACCTTCAATTGACTACACTTTATAAGCATGTTTTGCAACCAGTATGTTATAGTTACTTACATTGTTAGGGAAACATATAATAAGTTACTTAAATATTCTCAAATACACAAAGTGCATCAGTTTAATTTTGTGCTGCTTTTCAATATTTTCAATTTGCTATCAACATTTATGATGAGTCTTACACTTTGACCAGATGTCCATGACACATGATCCAGTTCTTAAGTAACATCAAAGCAAAAAGGAGAATCAGAAGCTTATATTAAAAAACACTGCAATTGACACGATAGAGCTTCCAGTATCATTAAAATGCTATGTGGGGAAATATGACGTAATAATTAAAGACTTTGAGTTAGTTATACAGAACTCTTGTACATCAAACAATAGGACTGTGTTATTACATTAGTGAAATATCTAGGATCTGCAATTATGGTATCTGGTACAAGTGGTGTGGTGGGTATGTGGATCTATGGGTAGGGGGAAGATACTGGGAGTTGGGACATTACCTACTTTCTGCTGGAGTGTGCAATAAGTAGAGGAGATTCTGGTCAGTGAAGGCACCAAGCCCCCTTCATGGTGGGAGGTGGGGCAATTGTTACCAAATGTTCTGAGGAGTTTCTGCTGACCACAAGGGAATTACATTCCCTTGTGCTAATTCCCTTGTGCTTTTGAAAGGCCTAACAGAACAAATTCCAACCTGTTCTAATTGAAGGAAACTGACACTGGAACCAAAGACACAGAAGAATTCTTCTTTAACCAGAGTAAGATTCCTGGCATTTGTGGTCAACAATAATGGGCAAATTGTTGGGAAACAGATTTGCAGGATGGAACTCCAGTTTAACATCTAATACAGCAGCTACGAGGGCAGATGGGCTGTTGCTGTACTGTAGTTTCTACAATTCTACAAGATAAACATTTCATCGATCTCAAATATACATGAACATATTGGAACGTAAAGAATTACTTCTGGATCACCCCAAGTCCTTTACTACTTTACAAGATTCAAGTTTCACTGCAATCATAAGGCAACATACAACAGAGTATTGACAGGATACAGACAGGCCCAAAACTGACAACAGCACCCAATAACCTGGTATCATCACAAAACATTAAATGGGCATATTTTAAGCTTCAGAGTTATGACACATTTTTACTTCTAAGATACTTTGAATTTGTGATGTTTGTTGAGTGATGCAAAGCAAGTACTATCAGATAATAATCCAGGGAGTGAGAGGGATTTTCACACAGAGTATGGTCTAGATTAGACAATGAAAGAGACCTTCAAACACCAAGTATGAGTCTAGAATGGGCCTCACCTGCACTTCAACAACCGTGTTTTGTACAATCTGGGCATAGGACTCAAAACTATACTTGATTATTTGAAACTGCAGTGGCTAATTTCTTGAATCTAGGATTGAATGTGACTTAGTCTGAGCTAAATGCTGGCAATTTCCTCAGTGCTATAAAATTGGTGGAAACTTGGTTTTCCCAGCTAAGAGAAATACCTACCTACCTACCAAGAGCAAGTTTATGGCCAGCCTTTTAATTCAACTCTGCTTCCTTTGCCTACTTTTTGAAAATTGAACTGTTGCTTTATCAACAACTTCCGCAGTATCAAGTCTGTCACAGAAACAGATGAAATATTGAAGGACACACAGTGCACGTAACAGGTACTCTTGTGGCATGCTAGGCCTTCGATTCCAATAATTGAAAGCTGTTTGTAAATGACTCCTCTAATTGATGCAGAGGTGCTGAGGATGTAATGATCCACATGGCAGTTCTATGGAGATCAGCTCCTTGAAGGCTCATTAGATATTTCTAGGGCTGTAGAATTTCTGCTCATCTTATCAAAGGAACTTGGAATCTAGACATCAGACAAAAGAAATAGGTCGTCAGTGACACTGAATTATGTCTCTTGGCCACTGACATCTTTTGTAGTGCTCCAAAGTATCAGCAACATTTCAGTAAGTACACTAAATGAATGGTTATTGGAGGTTGAATGGACCAGGATCGGTAAATTTATTCTGTCCCTGCTTCAAAGTAACTCATTGTATTCTTTATCCTATATAGTTTCATCCTCAGTCAACATATATCATGGGTAAGACCAATGTAAATTTGCCATACTGTAATTAGATTTCCCCATCAGTTTGCGATCACATTTTATTGAATTTCCTATGTAAATGATAGATAGTTTCAGATTTTTGATAAATAAAATCTCCCGTAATGTGGTTGCGTGACAATTAGTTCTCTGTACTGGAATTTACTATGTCCACATTGAAGTTTCAAACAAAATAAACAATTGGGAAAATTGTCTGTATTGTAACAACGAAGAGCAATCCTGCATTTGTTTAGCACCTTTCATAAGCATGCAATTGACAGCCCATAAAGCGCTTCTGCAATGCTCTCACAGTTGTAACACAAAGGCAGCAGCCAACTTGTACACAGGATGTGAGGGTAAGGGCTGCAAGTGGTGGGGTGAGGGGATAAAGGGTGATGGGACTGGGGGAAAGAGGACATCAGCCGGTACCAAGGGGGTGGGGGTAGTGGGATGAAGGGACAACAACACTCACTGATGTAAAATTAATTGGTTGTAATACTCACTGCCATTCGATGCTGCTTGCGGAGCTCTCTAACTCTCACAAGCTCCATAGTGGCAGCCACATGCTCGACAGCACGTCCTAGGTCTTCTGCATACCTCTGTACCAGGACTGTCGGAATCCCACATCGACCATGCTAGACATCATGAAAGGAGGAGATGGTCCAATCAGAAAACAATTATGGTGATTTTTTTTTCTAATAAAAATGATTCAAAATTTGAATTAGCTGCTCGTTCCATGAGAGTTAGTTCCTTTCTGACCAGTATTTATTGATCAAATGAAGCTGTTTTTGACAGGCTACTTTCAAAGGCAAATTATTCTTTCCATCAGTAACCAATTTTTGTTGTGATAGCAATGAATTTTTGTGGGAGGAGAACTACATTGGATGCTGAATGAGCTGCCACATTTTCTATCAGTGGGGTCACAGGATAAGGTGGGTGGCCTAAATTTCAATCTCTGTCTCCACCACCTGTGACTTCAGATGTTGACTCTGTTAAACAAGGGAAAGTGACATTAAAAGTGAACACTATCTCTTCCCTAGTCTGGCCTACATGTGACTCCAGGCTGACAGAAATGCTGTTCACTCTGAAATGGTCTAGCAAGCCACTCTGTTGTACGTGCAATATTAGTGAATAAAAGTCCACAGGAGTGAAGATGGACAGACCACCCAGCAACAATTTAAGCATCAGAAACGACAACAGCAAACACAACCAAGTCAACCCTGCAAAGTCCACCTTACTAATAATCTGGGAGCTACTGCCAACATTGGGAGAGCTGGCTCAGACTTCTCAAGCAACAGCCTGATACAATCATATGCTTAGAATCATATTTAACAATGTCCTAGATACCACCATCACCATCCCTGGGTATATCCTGTCCCTGTGACAGGATAGACCTATCAGAGATGGTGGCAAAGTCGTATACAGTCAGGATGGAGTTGCCCTGGAAGTCCTCATTATTGACTCCATGCCCCAGAAAATCTTACAGCATCAGGTCAGGAAATCTCCTGTTGATTACTACCTATCACTTCCCATCAGCTGATGAATCAGCACGTCCCCAAGTTGAACAGCACTTCATAAGGCGGCAAGAACACAGAATGTAGGGTGGGGGACTTTGATGAACTGTAGTTCAGTCTGCTGAGCAAGTTGGCAGAATCCAGAAGGACATAGTTACTAGACTGGGTCTCCAACAGGTGGCGTTGGAACCAACAAGAGGGGGGAAAAAAAACACTTGACCTCAACGTCACCAATCTGCCAGCCTCAGATGCATCTGTCCACAACAATAATCGTAGGAGTGACCACCGTATAGTCATCTTGGAGATGAAGTTCCATTTTCACACTGAGGGTTCACCTTATAGTGTTTAGGACTATCATGTGGTAAATGGCACAGACTTTGAACAGATTCAGAAACTCAAAACTGGGCAACCACGAAGTGTTGTGGGTCATCATCACCAGAACTGGAGTTGACCACCACCTGTAGCCACATCCATTTTCCAGCTCATTCCACACTCTGATGTTAATATCAAGCTAGGGAATCTTTGCCTTTGTTCCAAAAAAGACAAAGCGTGGGACCAACAATTCCTGTGAATCCTGAATATCAAGAGATATACAGGGATAAAAAGACAAAGGGAGGTTTATAGCAAACACCAAGGGCTTAAAACAACAGAAGCCCTACAGGAGTACAGAACATGCAAGAGGAAACTTTAAAAGGAAATTAAAAGAGCAAAAAGCGGGCATGAAAGAATAATAGCAGGTAAAATAAAGGAAAATCCTAAGTTTTTTAATAAGGTCATTAAGAATAATAAAAACTAGGGAAACAGTAGGCCCCATTAAGGATCACTGCGGTAATGTGTGCCAGATGATGTAGGTAGGATTCGAAACAAATATTTTGTGTCAGTGTTAAGGAACAAAGTGGGTACAGTAATCAGGGAGAGGATCTGTGATGCAGTTAAAGAAATTAGCATAGACAGGGAGAAGGTTCTGAGTGGTTTGGCAGGCTTAAAAGTAGATAAATCTCCAGGGCTGGATGAAATATATCCCAGTTAGCTGAGTGAGGCAAATAGTAGGGGCGTGAGCAATAATTTTCAATTCCTGACTGGCCACAAAAGAGGTACTAGAGGTCTGGAGGACAGCCAATATGGTACCATTATTTAAGAAGGGATAAACCAAGAAACGATAGACCAGTCAGTCTAACCTCAGTGGTAGGGAAATTAGAAGCAATCCTCAGGGACAGAATTAATTTGCCCTTGGAGAGATACGATTAATCAGGGGCAGGCAGCATGGTTTTATCAAAGGGAGATCAGGTCTCACCAACTTGTTTGAATTTTCGAAAAAGTGACCAGGTATGTAGATGAGGACAATGCTTTCAACACGGTCTATCTGCAAGGCTTTTGATAAAGTCCCGCATGGGAGACTGACAGCAAAGGTAAGGGGCCACAGGATCCAAGGAAATTTGGTAAGTTGGATCCAGAATTGGCTGAGTGGCAGGAAGCAGAATGTGATGGTCAAGGGGTATTTAGCGACTGGAAGCCTGGCTCAGTGAGGTTCTGTAGGGATCAGTATTGGGGCCCTGTTTGTGGTATATAAAAATGACTTAGACTTGAATGTAGGAGAGGGTATCAGAAAGTTCGCAGATGATAAAAATTGGTGGAATGCTAAATAGTGAGAAGGACAGTGAGACTCTTGGATCACAGGAGGATGTAGATGGGCTGGTGAGATGGCTGATCAGTGGGAAATAGAATTCATTCCAGATAAGTGGGAGGTGATGCACTTGGACAGGACAAACTAGGGAAGAAAATACAAGATGATTGGGAAACATTAGAGGGACCTTGGTATGCATGCCTACAGGTGGTCCCTTATGGTAGCAGAACAGGCAGATAAAGTGATTAAGGTGGCATATGGGATATTTGCTTTTAATAGTTAATGCAGAGTTTAAGAGCAGGGAGGTTCTGCTGGAATTGTGCGCAGTTCTGGAATCGACATTATAGGAGGGATGTGATGACACTGGAGAGGGTGCATGGGAGGCTTACTTGGATGTTGTCTGGGCTGGAGAGTTTTAGTTATGAACAGAGAGATTGCATAGACTAGGGTTATTTTCCTTGGAGTAGAGGAGACAGAGGGAGGACATGGTTGATATGTATAAAATTATGAGAGTCATAGACAGGAGGAAACTTTTTCCCTTGGTGGAAGGATCAATGATTGGGGGCGTAGATTTAAGTTAAATGGCAGGAGATATAGAGGCAATGGGAGAAAAAATACTTTCACCCACAGGGGTGGGAATCTAGAACCCACTGCCTGTAAGGGTGGTAGAGGCAGAAACCCTTGTAATATTCAAGAAGTATCTGATATACACTTGAGATGCCAAACCATATAGGCTTATGGAAAATGGGATTCAAATAGTAGGTAAAAACAGAATTAACGTTTCAGAGGAAGGGTCACTGGACCCGAAACGTTAACTCGGTTTTCTCCTTCACAGATGCTGCCAGGTCTGCTGAGCTTTTCCAGCAACTTTGTTTTTGTTCCTGATTTACAGCATCCGCAGTTCTTTTGGTTTTCAACTAGTAGGTGGTAGTTTTCCATTGGTGTATGCTTGATGAGTCAAAGGGCCTTTTCCTGTGCTGTAGACCTCTATGACCAATCAACCGTGGCTCACTAAATAATACAGGACAGCATGCCAAGAGCAGCAGCATGCATACCTAAAAATACCTGGTGTTAACATGGTGAAGCTACAACACAGGACTACTTGGGTAACAAACAACGTAAGCAGCAAGTGAGTCAGAACTAAGCATAACCAAGGGATTAAATCAAAGCTCTGTAGTCCTGCCACATCTATTTGTGAATGGTGGTGGTCAACTAAACAACAGAAAGGAGTTGGCTTCACAAAGACCTCATCGTCAATGATGGAGCAGGCCAGTGCAAAAGATAAGGTGGAAGCATTTGCAACAATCTTCAGCTGAATATGCCAAATGGATGACCAACATTGGTCTCCTCCTGGAGGTTCATAGCATCACAGCATCACAGATGTCAACTTTCAGCCCAATTTGATTCACTCCATGTGATATCAAGAAGACGCCAAAGGCACTAGCTACGTCAGAGATTATGGGCCCTAACAACTTTCTGGCAATAATACTGAAGACTGGTGCTCCAGAACTAACAGTACCCCTAGCCAAGATGTTCCACTACAGCTGCAACACTGGCACCTACCTGACAATGTGGAAAACTGCCCAAGTATGTACTGTACATGTAAAGGACAAATTCAACCAGCCAATTGTTGCCCTATTAGTCTACTCTTGACCATCAGCAAATTGGTTCCAGCAGCACTTGCAGAAGAATAACCTGCATACTGACATTCAGTTCAGTTGTGCTAGGATCACTTAGCTCCTGATCTCACTACAGTCTTGGACGAAAGATGGACAATGAAGCCGAACTCCAGAAATGAAGTAAAGCTCACTGAGCATGGCATCAAGGAGCCCTACTAAACTGGAGTCAGTGTGAATTAGGGGGAAAACTTAACATTGGTTGAAGTCATACCTAGCACAAAGTAAGGTGGCTGGCACTACGGGAGGTGAATCATCTCAGCCACATGGCATCGCTGCTGGATTTTCTCAGGGTAGACATTTTCTAATCAACCCGATCAGAGATGTTATTGCGAACCTTTGCAGCAGGTGGGACTTCAGTCCAAACCTCTGGTACAGAAGTAGGTCACTGCATCACTGGAGTCCTTTTTCCTCAGGGCAGTATCCCAGGCCCAACCATCTTCAAATATTCATCAATTACCTACCGTCTATCAGTAGCTCAGAGGTGACGATGTTCACTGATGACTGCACAACTTTCAGCCCCATTCATGACACTTCAGAAACTGAAGCAGATGATACACAGCAAGACCTAGATAATATCCAGGCTTAGGCTTACAAATTGAAAGCAACATCTATGACACACAATCCTAAAGCAATGACCAGCTCCAACAAGAGACAATTTAACCAACAAGTGGATAGATTCTTGCTTAAGCAAGGGGATGGAAAGCTCATTAGGAACAGGCAAGAATGAGAGTTTGTGGTTACAATCAAATCAGCCAGTGATTCAAGGTGGTAATTCTCCACCACCTCCTCCAGGGAAAATTAGGGATAGGCAATGTGATAGCACAGTCAGCATTACCCATGTAGGTAAATACATTTTTACAAAATTGACACTTGTGTGCTTTGTACCTAGATGTTTGCATTGACAATATCCATAACATTAGAGTAACTTAAGTGTGTATACTATATTGAAGGAGGACTAGATAAAAAAAGACACGCAATAAAGGAAATGCACACTACGGGCTGGTTAATGAATACTGATGTGCACATTCACTGGGGTAACCCTAAGAAATATCTCACAGCTACACGCATCCATCGCCTGAACCCAAGGGAGTAATGCTTACCTCTTCTAAGCTTTCGTCTTCCTCTCTGGAAGATCTCCTGCAGCAATTCGAGCAAAGGAGGATTACCAGGAGGAAGAACATGACAAGAACAGGTAAAAAGAATACTAAAGCAGGGAGACATTGACGAAGCGGATGCTGAAGACGAAAATCACATACAGCTCCCTGATGTAGCCATTTTCTATCACAGGTACCCTTTGCAGCTAGATGGGTGAGATAGCAATACTGTGAATATGGGGGTGGGGTGGGGGTGGGGGTGGGTGGGAGAGATAGTTGGCTACAAGAAGTTTTGCTTTAAAAATCATCTATTGTGTATCCAAATGGATATTCAACCCCGTCAAGAAGGCCAACAATGAATGTCAGGAAGTCTACTCCACCTTCTACCTTCTTAAGGTTGCCACAGGAATTTCAGGGGGGTCTCTGTTTCAAGTCTACTTGCTGTATCTATACTTCAATTCTTCAGCTAATTTTATAGGAAATTCACACACCGTTAAAATTAGGCTTAATGACTCAGTACTAGCAACAGGGCACTCGTTTTCAAAAGGAGTAATCAATGTTATTTATACCTTGTCAGAGTAGGGTTGCTCTGTAAGATCAATTGCTTCTGATTCCAGTTTATTTTCGATTAGCATTTCCAGTTCTACTTCTCTCATCCAAGATGCCTTTCTTCCAGATACAGTAAACATCTTAAGTCCTAGCTGTGGTGGACAGGCAGTCCCTGGCAGTGCAGTCTCTGGCAAACAAGGGGCATGAGTGGCTACAGTTGAGTTGACCATCTCTGCAGTGGGATGTGGAACTTGCAAGTTAGTGGACAGTCCATACCTATTGGCAATGGCAGGGTTTGATTTGTTCAAAATATGAGGCATAGGATGGATGCCATTTCGCATTTTCTCTCTGCATTTCTTGGCAGGTACTGGAGGTGGCTGGGAAGGATTTCTGGCATGTCTACTGTTTTCAGTTGTAGGTTCCTTGCTTCCTGTTGAATTACAGATTACAGCACTATCTCGATACCCTTCCATAAAATGATGGTTTTGCCGAATGCTCAGAGGTGGGAGTATTGCAGGTTGATTGGGTAGGTCACACTGTACAATTGGAGATGGCATGTTCTTCTCTTCTGAAAACAGAAGTGGGGTGGAGACCGGGTCCTCTATTTGCATATTTTGAAGACCATTAGTATTGATCTGTGCACTGTGAGTCTCTGCATTTACAAAAGGAACAGTACTTGGTTTGCCGAGATCCCTTACACCACAGCTGAGATACTTCATACAGGAAATTTTCTCGATTTTCGCTTCTGCACCAAACTTCCTTTGCCAAGGCAGAGCAACATATGTTCCCGTTTTTGAGACTGTGTTTGATGGGACACCAGCCTTACCGCACAACTCATCTGAAGAGCGGGATTTTTGCCACTGCTTTTGAATGGCATGGGAGTGTGCCAGGTCCTCACAACTTACGCTGACCCGCAACTTTTGGCAACTTGTCCTTCTGAAGGGCATTGAATGGCCATGGCAACTAAGATGTCTGTAGTTTGACTTTAGAGAGCTACATGAGACCTGAGGCTTAGTAACGCGCCTCTCTTTATCTCTTTCAAAGTGTAAATTCTCAATAGATTTTGCGAGATGAAGTGCTGTGTAGCTTGTTGGGCACTTGAGCTGTGACCCAAAGTTTGCCGATGATCCTGTGGACACTAATGGCCAAGACTTTCTGCTTTTTCCTAAAGGCAAGTAAAACCAGTTAGAAGTTTTAGAATTTGTTGGTAATGCAAACACTGCGATTTCAGTTCGAAACACTCTTATCAAAGAATGACAGGAACAATACACTGCTGCTAACCTTGGATCAGTGGTAGCATGCACCCATCCAAATTGCAAGGCTATGGGTTCAAGTTCCACTAAGAAATTAATGCACAGCTTTTAAAAGTTTTCCAATCCTCTGGCATCCCACTAATTTTCATCACATTGCATGCTTTTTCTTTTACCCTATCCCTGACTTCCCTCAACCTCCTTTTAGAATGTTTCTTCTTCCTTAGGATGAATTTCTGCTGCGCCTCCCGAATTACCCCCAGAAACTCCTGCCATTGCTGCTCTACCATCTTCGCTGCTCAGTGCCCTTTCTGGCCAGCTGCTTCCTCAAGACTTTGTCATATTATCTTTATTCCATTGTAATACCATTACATATGATTCCAGCTTCTTCATCTGTCACTGACCACTCGGGGTTCATTTACCTTAAGCTCCCTAATCAAGCCTGCCTCATTACACATCAAACCCAGAACTGCCTGTTCCCTAAAGGCTAGACCACAAGCTGCTCCAAAACAAAACCCATCTCGTAGACATTCCACAAATTCTTTTTCTTGACATGCGCAACCAATCTAATTTTCGTAGGCTGCCTGCAGATTCAAGACCCCTATGATTTTTGAACAGTGCTTTTCTTACATGTCTTTTCCTATCTCCTGATTTATTTTCTGTCCCACATCCTAACCACTGCTAGGGGACTGTACATAACTCCAATCAGGGTCTTTCTTCCTTTACTATTCCTCAACTCTACCCACACAGATTCTGCACCTTCTGACTCTGGTGTTTTTTTCTATCCAATTTATTTATTTATTTTTACTGACAAGGCAACTGCACCATCTGCCTGCCTTCTTGAAAGGGCGTGTGTCCTTGGATATTTACTTCCTAGACCTGACTTTTTGCAGCCATGTCAAAACATTGTAACTGCCAATTTTAAACTGCTCTACAAACTCATTTACTTCTTATGTATACTGCACACATTTAAGTACAGCAGCCCCAGTTTTGCAATCAGCCTTCTGATTGCCACCCTTCTCACAGTTGCTCCTTTATCTGCTGTGAAGTTAGATTCCTGAACTTTTCTATGCACTCAGTCTATTACTTGAAATATTGCAGTGATTGTAACAAGGTCAGCCAGGTGGACCTCACAGAACACAAGTTCCCTGATTGGGGCTGTTAACCTGGTCTAATCAGAGAGACCTGGCTGGCAGTTAAGAACAGGAGTGTCAAACATCCTGACACTCGGAGCTGGCTCTGAGAAAGCTGGATCACTGTCTAAGACTCCCCACACGTAAATAAAGGGTGACGTGGGGACAGGATACTGGCTTCTGAAGTTATTTCAATATATTTTCTTGAAATCTGTCACCTGATGCTCATGACAAAAACCCCAGGAACTTTCAGCATAAAACTCTCCCACAAGGAGAGCAAAGAATCCCAGTTCAATCTCTCATCTGAGGTAATGGTGACCTACAATGTTACAGCACATCCCCAGCACTATACTGGAGTGTTGGACTGGGTTAGGCACTCAAGTTCCTGAGAATGCAAGTATAATCTCTTGAAAGTAGTTACTCCGAGTTAGTTTTTGCTACCCTTACCATTCTCTGGGTATCCACTCTCCTCAAAGCAACCTGAATCCCAAGGTAGTTGTCTTTGCAGTTCTGGGCCAGTGTGCTTAAGGGAAAAGTGGGGTAAAATTTCCTGAGTGGCACATTCACCAGCTGGATCTTTGTCACTGTTGCCTATATCAAGAAAATGTTAAAAGCTGAGTAACATCAAGAGAACAAAAATGCAAATTAAAACAAACCAGTGATGCAAAAGTCACAACAAAAATACATAATTACAGTCACAGAGTTGTACAGCACGGAAACAGATCCTTCCGTCTAACTCATCCATGCCGACCAGATATCCTTAACTGATCTAGTCCCATTTAAACAGAATTAAAGACAATTGCTAAGTACTGGGAGCATTCTTTATGCTATTATATTTTGGGTTTGATGTTTTTAAACTTTAGCTGCTTAATAGAGGAACTAGTTCAAGGTGTTTTATGTATTACCTAAAGACTGTGTTGACCTCGTATCAAGTTTATTAATTGTATCTTCAGGGAGACGGGGACACGGTGCTGACATTGGACACTAATCTAGAGGCCCAGGATGATTCATTAGGGACAGGAGTTCAAATCCCACTGTGGAATTTAAATTCAAACAATACAAATCTGAAATTGGCAGTTAGTCTCAGTAATGGCGATTGTGAAAAACTACCAACGATTGTTAAAACTCATCTGCTTCACTAATGACTTTACAGAAGGAAATCTGCTATCCTTATTGGTCTGGTCTACCTGCCATGAGTTCAAAAGTACTGAAGGATGGGCAATAAGTACTGGCCTTACCAATGATCACCCACATTCCATGGAAGTATAAAGAAAAATAAATTTATGACAGGATCGGATGAGCAGCAGCTTTTTTGTTTGCAGTTGTTGTATAAACAAAGATTGCCACAAATTTAAGTTTGTGGCAGATTGATTAATCTTGAACCACAATAGGCCTGGGGAGTGTTTTAGGGACAGGACAGAATGGTTCACCTGTAAGGAAGCTCAGCATTAAGACACAGTTAGCCTAAAGTTATATGGGAGAGGTTAAATCACAGACTTGACTTTATTAGAGGTCTAGGAGAAAACAGTTTAGTTTAATAGAGAGAAATGGGTGGGAAGCAGTCATGTGCTGCCTCTGTGCAATGTGGAAAGTGCATGTACCCAGTGTGGCCGCACTTTCAGCTGTCATCCGAATGCTTGGATTTGGGCTCAATGCTTCCAAACTTGAAAAACAGCTGGTGGCAATGTGGTGCACACAAGAAACTGAAGAATACATCTCACAGAAGCGGATCAAAAGCATTTAATGAGCATGTAAAAAGTGATGACTCTCTACAGGAACTGGAAGAGGAAACAGAGACAATGGCCCAGAAAGTCCTATATTTTTGGGGGGAGAATAGTTGTTGCAGTGGGATAGATTGGAATTGGGTGCAGAAATCCTGATACAGTTGATGCGGTGTGAAATGCCCACAAAGTTGATATTTCTGGGTGCCACAGTAGCTAGCACTCCTGCCTCATAGCACCCAGCTGTTTGATTCCAGCTTCAGGTGATTGTCCAGGTGGAATTTGCACATTCTTGCCATGTCTGCGTGGCTTTCCTCCAGGTGCTCTGGTTTCCTCCCACAGTCCAAAGATGTTCAGGTTAGGTGGTTTGGCTATGCTAAATTGTCCGTCGTGTCCAGGGATGGGTGGGCTAGGTGCATTAGCCATGAGAAATGCAGGGTTTAGGGATACAGTAGGAGGGGTGGGTCTGGTTGGGATGCTCTTTGGAAAGGTGGTCGTGGACTCAATGGGCTGAAAGGCCTGCTTCCACACTGTAGGGATTCTGTGATTCTATGGGACATTTACCCAGTGCCTGGAACCCTCCATAGGAGTCCTCAACTCAGTCAGTGTTAGAGATTTCAGATGGTTCTGACTCAATTAAGTTTCATAGCTACTCAGAAAGGGTCAGAGGTTTAAATCCACTAATTCCTGGATAACTATTAAATTGAATCCCCAATTAACCACTCTGATCCAAACCCGCCCACAAATACACACTCCCAGACCCCGACACACCAACCTACCCCAATTCGGCCAACCTCATCCACTGTACATCCTACCCAAAACAAACCCTCAACCTACCCTAGGCACTTGTTGTGTACCTGTCACCCTAAACCCCTCCCCCGGCTGGACTAAAGAAACGGGGATGTAAGGATGTGTATTGTATATATTTGTTTGTCTGCAAGGACTAATTGGATCAAATGTTTCTTAGTTCACACCCTTATGGCATTCGATACACTAAATGTGACGTGACCAGCTTCACTCGCATTCCAAAAGCAAATCAAAACTCAAAAGAAAATTAAAGGAAGGAAGAAAGAATTTCAGTTTCCACACAAGATTATCTTCCAGAAACATGAGGAAATTGATAAAAAGGTATATTGTTTAAACAAAGATAAAAATGTCTATAGGTGTAAAGCAGAGACTAAGGGAGGGGAATGTATGGAAAGCCTGAAAGGCTGAAATAGGTGCATAGAAATTAGTGCCCTCTTCCTGTGCTGTAAAGTTGTACGATTATACTGATAACATTTCATATGCAAGCCAGCAAGTGTTTTTGTAAAAGTAATTATTTTCTTTAAATGTATTCGAGATGTTTCAATGCCTCCAAAAAAAGATCCAAGGATTCTTGTATCTTATTAACATTAACCAAGGTGATGCAACCATCAAGATGAGCTTTTATTCTGGGACTTGCCTCAATCACGTGACCACAATGTTTATTTCCAATAAAACGTTGCTCTTACTGTCATATTCGTGCAGGAAATCAACAGCTGTCAGCAGCTGGGATCTGTGCTGTGGTTCCAGAATGTTGAGTTCATCCAGGTCCTCTTCTTGCAGCAGCTTAAATGTGTCCAAATCCTCGTATCCATTCAGTAGTAGAGTTGGCATGTGCTGCTGTAAATGGAAGAAACAAGATTTACAGAAACTGTTAAATGGGACTGGTGGGTGAGATCAAAGCACTCACTAAACGGTCTGCTCCTGTAGCATATATGGCCAACCTCCTAATCCCTGATATGACAGTGGAGAAACTTGGAATAATTATGCATTAATAAATGAATGGATTTTTAAAAATTCATTCAAGGGATTTGGGCGTCTCTGGCTAGGCCAGCATTTATTTCCCATCACTAACTGACCAGAGGGCACTTAAGTGTCAACCACATTGATGTGGGTCTGGAGTAACTTGTAGGCCAGACCAGGTAAGGATTGCAATTTCCTTCCCTAAAAGGACATTAGTGAACCAGATCGCTTTTTCTGGCAATCCACAATGGATTCACGGTCTTCAACAGACTCTTAATTCCAGATTTCTAATTTGAATTCAAATTCCAACATCTGCCATGGCAGGATCCAAAGTTGGGAATGTTACCTGGGTCTCTAGATTAAAAATCCAGTGATAATACCACTAGGTCATCACCTCTGTCAAAGGCAAACTGTGTTTTGCTAACTTGGATGAGTGGTTGGCAAATATATTGTTATGAATGGATTCTTCGATAGAATTTGAGACAGGAATGGTGACAGAAGTGCAGTTGACATTTTGTAATGAACAGAATCAGATTAAACAGACAGTGACTAAGGGGGAAAAAGTCGACAGCAGTGGTGGATGACTGTTTTAATGACTAGAAGAGATGTATATTGTTGTTCCCTGGTGATTTACCTCATCAGTTCAAGGGTTGTAATGTCACTGGCTAGGCCAGTATTTACCACATTTGAGGTGGTGGTGTGAATAACTGATGTCCATGTGGTGCAGACACACCCACAATACTGTTAGGTGGGACAGTTCCAGAATTTGAGCCAACAATGAAGTAATGGTGATACAGTTCCACATCAGGATGGTCTGTGGCTTTGAGAGGCATGTGCAGATGGTAGTGCCCATGTATCCGATTGCCCTTGTCCTACTAGGCTATAGAACCCACAGGTTTGAAAAGTATTAAGACCACTACTCTTTTCTTATCATAGAATCCCTAGTGCAGACAGAGACCGTTTGGCCATTCGAGTGTGCATGACCCTCTGAAAAGCCTCCTAACGTGCACATCTTTAGGCTGTGGGAAGAAATTGGAGAACCCAGCGGAAACCTACACAGACATGGGGAGAATGTGCAAACTCATCACAGACAATTAGAAGAAATTGCAGGGCCCCTAGGAGAGGTATTCGTAACATCGACAGCCACAGGTGAGATGCTAGAAGGCCAGAGGATGGCTAATGCTGTGCCATTATTTAAGAAAGACTGCAAGAAAAAGCCAGGAACTGCACACTAATGAGCCTGAGGTAAGTGGTGGGTAGGTTGTTGAAGGGGATTCTGATAGACACGATCTACATGCATTTAGAAAGGAAAGGACTGATTAGGGATAGTCAGCTTGGCTTTGTGCATGGGAAATCGTGTCTCTCAAGTTTGATTGAGTTTTTTGAAGAGGTGACAAAGAAGATAGATGAAGGCAGAGCAGTAGATGTTGTCTACATTGTCTTTAGCAAGGCTTTCGACAAGGTACTGCATGGCAGACTGGCTAATAAGGTTAGATCATATGGGAATCTGGGACAAGCTAGCCAAATAGATACAAAATTAGCTTGATGGTAGGAGACAGTGGGTGGTGTTAAAGGATTGTTGTTCAGACTGAAGGTTTGTGACTAGTGGTGTGCCACAAGGATCAGTGCAGGGTCCACTTTTGTCTGTCATTTATATAAACAATTTGGATGAAAATGTAGGGTTATGGTTAGTAAGTTTGTGGGTGACACCAAAATTGGTGGTAAAATGGACAGTGAAGAGGGTTATCTAAGAGAACAATGGGACCTTGATCAACTGGGCCAGTTGATTCAGATAAATGTGAGGTGTTGCGTTTTGGTAAGACAAACCAGGGCAGAATTTATACAGTTAATGGTAGGGCTTCGGAGAGTGTTATTAAATAGAGAGACCTAGGGGTGCAGGTGCATTGTTCCTTGAAAGTGGTGTCACAAGTAGATAGGGTGGTGAAGACAACGTTTGGCATGCTTGCCTTCATTGGTTAGAGCACCGAATACATGGGTTGGAATGTCATGTAATAAGCTATTGAGAAGGCCACATTGAGTAGTGTAGAATTATGGTCATCTTATTATAGGAATGCTATAATGAAATGAAAATAGTGCAAAAAAGATTGGCACGGATGTTACCCAAACTAGAAGATTTGAGTTATAAAGGAGAAGCTGGATAGGCTGGGACTTCTTTCTCTAGAGATGAGGAGGCTGCGGGGTGGTCTTATAGAGGTTTAGAAAATCACCAGAGGCACAGATAAGATGAATTGCCAAGATTTTTTTGAGTAAGGCAGTGCAAAACCAGACAGCACAGGTTTAAGCTGAGGGGGGAGAGATTTAAAAGGGACCTGAGGGGCAACTTTTTAATGCAGAGCATGTACGTGAAATGAACTGCCAAAGGAAGTGATAGAGGTGAATGCAGTTACAACATTTAAAAGTCATTTGGACATGGATAGGAAAGGCTTAGAGGGAAATGGGTCAAACGCAGGCAAATGGGACTAGTTCAGTTTAGGAAATCTGGTCAGCATTAATGAGTTGGGCTGGAGGATCTGTTTCCATGCTGTGTGACTCTAAGGCTGGAATTGAACCTGGGTCCCTGGCAGTGTGAAGTGGCAGTGCTAACCACTGTATCATTGTGTCACCCTGTATGTTAATTTATTGCATTACATATGTTAAGAAACTGGATTTGGGTGCAAAGAGCCTAATATCATGTTGAAAGATAACAAAAGTCAGGAACACAGTTTACAAGGACAGTAGAAAAGAATATCACAGAGGCAATTATAGACTGGTGAAAGGAGCAGACACATAGCAGGTAAAGCCTAAGGCAGGGAATTACTGAATGTTTAATTTTGACTGGTAAAGTCAGAACAGGCTGATAAGCTGAAGGGAGTTTAAAGGGAATCCAGAAGCAGAGAGACTTGGGAGTGTAGGAATGCAAGTCTTGATGGTGACAGGACAACTTGAAACGGCTGTTACTAAGTTGTACTGGTCCTTGGTTTTATGAACAGAGAATAAAAACAAAAACATCAGTTAGGTACCAGCTGAAATGTAACGCCCAATTCTGAGGATTACACTTTAGGAAAGATGGCTTGGTGAAGTGTAAAGTCAGCATCTTTTCATTTTACTGTACATCTGTGGATATACGTAGGAAAAGAATACTTTTAAAAACCAAGAATTGGGAAAGGGATTGCTGCACTTTTTGAAAGCAAGCTACCAATGTTTATTGTAAGTGCTGTTTATATTGTTGCTTGTTCAAGCAGTAAGGGCAGACAATGGCAAATGGACTGGCACCAAGAGAATGTCCACAAAGGTCGGCAACAAGTAGGTGATTGGTCTGTGGAGTGGTGACCAGTTGTTGATGACAAAGGCGTTCTGTCTGCCAACAACCATGTGATCCCAAGTGACTGAACAGCTTATGGGTAACAGAAGCCTTGGACCTTTAGACGAAGAGTCATGTTCTGCAGTAAGAAACACCTAAAGCCAGTTTATACTCCCTCACCATTTGTTGTAAGCTGTTGCTATAAGCAATAAGCCAGAGACTTTGTAAGCTTTGAACCAGATACTCTTTGCTTCCTGCAAGCAAGTGAAAGTACCTGGAGAAGAGAGATTGAGGAATGGCAAGCCAAAAGATCATCTCAGCAAACCCTGTGGGCAGGGACCATTATACCACCTTCCCAGTTTTTCCCTCTGCCCATAACACCAATATTTCTTTTGTGTCTGTCTACATGTGTATGTAGGGGGAGCTTTAACCAGTAGAGGTATATAACAACAGTTCATAGTTGTTTAGCTGTAAATAGAATCTATTTATTTGGAATAAACAGCAATTCTTGTTCAGTGCAGAAACATGGTCCATACTTTTTGTCAACTTGGGTAGAAATTGATACACAAATTGGAGAATGTTGCACGATTTTATAAATTCTAACTTCTGTGAGGTGTCTGGGAAAAATGGGGCTTGATTTTCATCATGCTATCCCAGTAAGCCAGGATGGAGAATGCAGGAGTGATTTCTAGAATGGTACCAGGATTAAAGACCTAGGTTACATGGAAACATAGAAGTTAAAATCAGGAGGACACCATTCGGCCCTTTGACCCTGCTTCACCATTCATCACAATCATGGCTCATTGTCTAACCCTGCTTTTTCCCAAAACCTTTGATCCCATTCGCCCCATGTGCTATACCCAGCCGCCTCTTGAATACATTCAATGTTTTGGCATCAACTACTTCCACAGGCTCACCACTCTTTAGATGAAGGTTCTGGACACACACACCATCGGGAACATCCTCCCTGCATCTACTCTGTCCAGTCCTGTTAGAATTTTACATGTCTCTATCAGATCCCCTGTCATTCGTCTGAATTCCAGCAAAAACAATCCTAACCTAATCAATCTCTCCTCATACTTCAGTCCCGCCATCCCGGAATCAGCCTGGTAAACCTTCGCTGCACTCCCTCAAAAGCAAGAGAATCCTTTCTCAGAAAAGGAGACCAAAAAACTGCACATAATATTCTAGGTGTAGCCTTACCAAGGCCCTGTATAACTGCAACAACACATCCCTGCTCCTGTACTTGAAACTTCTTGCAATGAAGGCCAACATACACTTGCCTTCTTTACCACCTGCTGTAGCTGCATGCTTACCTTCAGTGACTGATGCACAAAGACACCCAGGTCCCGCTGCACACTCCCCTCTCCTAATTTACAGCCATTCAGGTAGTAATCTGCCTCCTTGTTTTTGTTTCCAAAATGAATGACTTCATATTTATCCAAATTATACTGCATCTGCCATTGATTTGCCCACTCACCCACCCTGTCCAGATCATGCTGAAGGATCTCTGCATCCTTGTCACAGTTCACCCTCCCACCCAACTTGGTATCATCTGCAAACTTTGAGATGTTACATTTTGTTCCCTCATCCAAATCATTAATATATATTGTGAATAGTTGGGGTCCCAGCACCGATCCCTGTGGCACCCCACTAGTTACTGCCTGTCAATTTGAAAAAGACTCATTAATTCCTAGTCTTTGTTTCCTCTCTGTCAACGAGTTTTCTATCCATCTTAATACACTTGCCCCCAATCCCATGGACATTAATCTTGCATAATAGTCTCTTATGTGGCACTTTGTCAAACGCTTTCTGAAAGTCCAAATATACCAGATCAACTGGCTCCCCTTTGTCAACTCTGCTAGTTACATCTTCACGGAATTCCAACAGATTTGTCAAGCATGATTTCCCCTTGATAAATCCATGCTGACTCTGTCTGATGGTGCCACTACTTTAAAATACTCCACGATAAAGTCCTTGATAGTGGATTTGGAATTTTCCCCACTACCGATGTTAGGCTTTATTGGTCTATAATTCCCTGTTTTCTCTCTATCTCTCTTTTTGAATATTGGAGTAACGTTCCCCTCCAATCTGCAGGGACTGTTTCAGAGTCTATTGAATCTTGGAAGATGACCACCAATGCAACTATTTTAGAGCCACTTCCTTTAAGTACTCTGGGATGTAGATCATCAGGCCTTGGAATTTGTCCGCCTTCAATCCCATTAAGTTTCTCAGAACCGTTTCTCTACTAATATTGATCTCCCTCAATTCTTCCCTCTCACTAAATCCTGCGTTTTCCAACATTTCTGGTATCTGATTTGTGTCCTCTTTCGTGAAGACAGAACCAAAGTATGTATTCTGTTGGAACTTCTCCTTCAATTCCTCCCACTTCCTACAGACAAAGGGGGTGGCCGTGGGTACCGGCATGGGCCCAAGCTATGCCTGCCTCTTTGTAGGATGCGTGGAACAGTCCCTCTTCCGCAGCTACACTGGCCCCATCTCTCACCTCTTCCTCCGTTATATCGATGACTGTATCGGCGCCGCCTTGTGCTCCCACGAGGAGGTCGAACAGTTCATCCACTTTACTAACAACTTCCACCTGGACCATTTCTGATGCCTCTCTCTCCTTCCTGGACCTCTCTGTCTCAATCTCTGGTAACCACCTGGAAACTGATATCTATTTCAAGCCCACCGACTCCCACAGCTACCTAGAATACACCTCCTCCCACCGACCTTTCTGCAAGCATGCCATCCATTTCTGAAGAAGGATCCAGACTCGAAACATCAGCTTTCCTGCTCCTCTGATGCTGCCTGGCCTGCTGTGTTCATCCAGCTCTACGCCTTGTTATCTCAGCCTCCAGCATCGGCAGTTCCTACTATCTCTATGTATTCTGTTGCTCAGCCATTTCTTTGTTCCCTATTATACATTCCCCGTTTCTGTCTGTAGGGGACCTACATTTGTTTTCACCAATCTCTTTCTCTTCATGTATCTATAGAAACTCTTAGTGTCAGTCTTGATGTTCCCTGTAAGATTACTTTTGTATTGTATTTTCCCCTTCTTAATCAATCCCTAGGTCCTCCCTTGCTGAATTCTTAACTGCTCCCAATCCTCAGACATATTATTTTTCTTGGCCAATCTGTATGCCTCTTCCTTGGATTGGGTACTATCTCTAATTTCCTTTGTGAGCCACGGATTGGCCCTCTTACCCATTTTGCTTTTGTCCCAGATAGGAATAAACAGTTGTTTCAGTTTCTTCCATGCGTTCCTTGAATGTTTGCCATTATCTATCCACGGTCATCCCTTTAAGTAACTCTCCTCAATCTATCAAGGCCAACTCATGCCTCATATCTTCATAGCTTCCTTTATTAAGATTCAGCACCCTAGTCTCTGAATTGACTACCTCACTCTCCATCTTGATTAAAAATTCTACCATGTTATGGTCACTTATCCTCAAGGGGTCTCACAGACATAGATTGGCAATGATTCCCTTCTCATTACACAGTACCCAGTATAAAATGGTCTGCTTTCTAGTTGGTTCCTCCACATATTGGTCAAGAAAATCATCCCAGGAATATACACTCCAGAAATTCCTCCTCTATGGCATTGTAGCTAATTTGATTTGTCCAATCTATGTGCAGATTAAAATCACCAATGATCACCGATATTCCCTTATCATATGCATCTCCAATTTCCTGTTTAATGCCGTTCTCAACATCACCATGCAATATGGGTGTCTATATACGATTCCCACTGATGTTTTTTTGCCCCTTGGTATTTCTCAACTTAACTCATTCAGACTCCACATCGTCAGAGCTAATATCCTTTCTCGCTATTGTGTTAATTTCCTTTTTAACCAGCAATGCCAGTCCACCACCTTTTCCGTTTTTGCCTTTCCTTCCTAAATACTGAATACCCTCGGACATACAGTTCCCATCCCTGGTCACCCCGCAGCCATTTCTCCATAATCCCAATTATAGTACCGTTTACATCTATGTGCACAATTAGTTCATCCACTTTATTGCAAATGTTCCATACATTAAGGCATTAAACTTTTAAGCTTGTCTTTTTAGCACTGTTTGTCTCACTCTTATTTTTCTTGATAGCTCTGTCTGAATTTTGTCCTTCGTTTCTCAGCCTATCACTTTACTTATTCTCTTTTCTATCTTTTGTTTTGGTCCTTGCTCCCTCCTTCTCTGACTCCTTACATAGTTTCCCAGCCCCTTGGCATATTCATTTAAACCTTCCCCAGCTGGTCCAGTAAACACGCTCCCTAGGACATCAGTCCCAGTCCTGCCCAGGTGTAACCTGTCCAATTTGTACAGGTCCAACCTCCCTCAGAACCAGTCCTAATGCCACAGAAATTTGAAACCGACCCCCTGACACCACCTTTTCAGCCACGTATTCATCCAATATATCCTGTCATTTCTACTCTGAACAGCACATGGCATCAGTAGTAATCCTGAGATCACAACCTTTGAGTCCGATTTCTTAACTTTCTTCCTAGCTCCCTGTATTCTGCCTTTAGGACCTCATCCCTTATTTTAACTATTTCATTTGTATCGATGTGTACCACAACCACTGGCTGTTCACCCTCCCCCTCCAGAATATCCTGTACCCGCTCCGTGACATCCTTGACCCGAGCACGAGGGAGGCACCATACCGTCCTGGAGTCTTGTCTGTGGCCACAGAAACGCCTGTCTACTCCCCTTACAATTGAGTCCCAAATAGCTATTGATCTGGCACACTTTTTACCCCTGCCCTCTACAGCAGAATAGCGGTGCAATGAGTTTGGCTGCTGCTGCATTCCCCTCAACAGTATTCAAAGCAGTGTACGTTTTGCAGGGGAATGGCTACAGGAAATTTCTGCACTACCTGCCTATCTCTCTTGCTCTGTCTGGTGGTCACCCATTGCCCTTCCTGCCTGCAGAGTCTGAGCCTGTGGTGTGACCACGCCTCTGTATGTGCTATCCACAATACTCTTTGCCTCACCGATGTTCTGCAGTGTCCCCAGCCGCCGCTCCAGGTCTGAAACTTGAGCTTCCAGGAGCTGTGGCTGGAGACACTTCCTGCACACATGCTGACCCCGGGGACTGGAACTATCCCCAGCTTGCCACATGGAGCAAGAGGAGCAAACCAAAGTTTTGAGCTCTCCTGCCATGCTTTACCTCTTTAAATTACACCTTGGATACATTAGATTAATTCAAATCCAAGGAAGTTGGGATTTGAATGAGGAATTTAATAATCTGGGATAGGTAGTAGGGAAAAAAAAAACTGTTTTCTATTGGTAGAAGGGTTGCTATCTGTAAGGCATAAGGATGATTGTCAGAAGAACCAGAGATGACATGTGAATTTTTTTTAAAACCATGTGCGTATTTTTATGATCTAGAATATGCTGCCTTAAGGAGTGATGAAAGAAAATCCAATAACTTTCAAGAGGAAATTAGATAACTAACGGTGTTTTGGGAAAGAACTGAGAGGTGCATCAAATTTTGCAGCTTTTTCAAAAGAACTGGCACAAGCATAATGGGAAGAACAACCCCACTCTGCACAGCATCAATTCCATTCTGCACTGTATCATTTTACGATTCCAACTTTTCGTAGGTTTGCTCCTGGATGAAAATCGGAAGCTGGCTCCTAGGGCCTGGCGGATAAATTGGAGAATCTCTTGCAGGTCTGTTAATAGACAAGTCAGTGGACCTTCTCATTGGCCTGCTCCTGGGACCTAGAGGAAATCCAAAGAACCTTATGGATCTTTATTGTTGTAGAGAATGAAATAGTATTGGATCCTAAATATATCACAGGGCCCAGATTTCAATATATTTCGAAGGTACCTGCGTGTTTTTGGTGGCCACCCTAATAAAGCCTTTACCACACTTTTTTTGTTGCGTTCCTGTGGTATCGAGACAAATTGGCTCTAATCGTTTGCAAGAGAATTACTGTGTCCTTTTAAAATCATTACGTGTAGTCTATTTTTGTGCTTGAATTCAAAATTTGTTCTTTTTTCGGACAATTGTACTATTGCGTGTTTGTTGAATATGGGTGTGGTTACATTAAATCACAAAACCAACCTGCAGACCAATGCGCTGAAGGAGATCCTGAACATTTTGGGGTTTTGGGTGTTTGGTGCCCCGTCTCCGTCTCTTTGGCCGTTTTGGTTTCTCCACTTCATTATTCACAATATCCACGTAGATGAATTTGAATGTCCCAACCTTATTGTTCAACAGCCCCATCCAGGTTCCTCCTGGTGGTTTGCTGATTATATCTATAATATCTCCTTTCTGGAAAACAGGTCAGAAACAGCAAGAGAAAATACAAAGCTCATAATAAAATCTGTGTATTTACACAGTGCATTTATCTCGTGCCTTTCATGAAATCAGGACATTTCAAAGTCACTGAAGTATTTTATGAAGTGTCCTCACCGTTGTAAGGTAGAAAATAGAAACAGAAAGGCACCACAAATGACCACACTGAGATAACTTGACCAGAGATTATAACAAATAATCTGGGTATTCTGTGATGATCAGATGATGAAATAACATCTTGTAAGTCTCTTCACCATCCACAAGACTCAAGAACATGGCATGATGGAACACTTGCTTGGTTAATCAGTATTTAATAGGCTTAACACCGTTGAGGGCAGAGCACTTCACTTGATCATTGTCCGTCAACTCTATAATGCTAATATCTACCATTGGAAGCTGCAGTTACAGTATGCATTACATATGGGATATTTGGCTTTGTGAATTGGGACAGCCAATACAAAAACAAGGTGGCACATTGAAAAATTTACAAATTTCTGGTTAGGCATCAGGTGAAGTTTTGTATACAGTTCTGGGTAAAATTCTTTGGGAGTTCATCAAGGCTCTGGAGAGGATGCAGAGGTCAACTGGAACAAGAGAGTTCAATTATGTGAACAGATGGGATGTTCATCCCACAGCAGGACAGATGAATGCATGGCTGAGGAGCTAGTGCAAGAGGCAGGGATTTAGATTTTTGGATCATTGGGATCTCTTCTGGGGCAGAAATGACCTAACATGAGGGACATGAAGGCACTTGAACTGGAGGGGCCCAATATCCTAGCAGGGAGATTTGCTAGAGTTATTCAGGAGGGTTTAAACTAGTCTGGCAAGGAGGTGGGTCCCTCATTAGTAGTGAAACAAGAGAGAAGATTGAGGCTGGTACAGAAGTTAAAGACAGCAAGTAAAACAGACAAGGTAGGTGAGAGCACCACAGAGAATGAGGGAAGAATGATGAATTAAAATGCATTTATTTCAATGCAAGAGGCCTGACACGTAAGACAGATGAACTCAGGGCATGGATGGGAACATGGGACAGGGATATCATAGCTATGGGAGGGACAGGACTGGCAGCTCAATGTTCTGGGCTCTAGATGGTATAGGTTAGATAGAAGGGGAGGCAAGAGAGGAGGGGGAGTGGCATTTTTGATTGGAGAAAACATCACAGCAGTACTTAGAGGGGATATTCCTCGGGTATCATCCAGTGAAGCTATATGGGTGGAACGGAGGAATAAGAAGGGGATGATCACTTTGACGGGACTATACTATAGGCCCCCAGTAGTCAGTGCGATATTAAGTAACAAATATGTCAGGAAATTGCAGATAGCTCTAAGAACAAAAGGGTCGTAATAGTAGGGGATTTTAACTTTCCAAGCATGGACTAAGACTGCTACAGTGTTAAGGGCTTAGATGGTGAGGAATTTGTTAAGTGTATTCAAGAAAACTCTTAAACAATGTGTCGAGGGCCCTACTACAGAAAGGGGTAAAACCTGACCTCCTCTGGGAAATAAGGCAGGGCAAGTAACTGAGGTGTTAGTGGGGGAGCACTTTGGGATCAGTGACCATAGGTCTATTAATTTTAAAAAATAGTTATGGAAAATGATAGGCCTGACCCACAAGTTAAAGTTCTAAATTGGACTAAGGCCAGCATGTTCCTGCTAGTGTGAGGGCAAGGCTGGCAGGAGTAGGGAACTATGGATGATTGGAGATATTGAGGCTCTGGTCAGGAAAAAGGAGGAGGCATTTGTCAAGTATAGACAGTTGGGATCAAGTGAATCCCTTGAGGAGAATGGGGGGTGGGGAGTGTATAGGAGTAAATTTAAGAGGAAAATTGGGAGGGCAAAAAGGGCAATGAAATCACTTTTAAAATAAGCTTGGATATCCCTGTGATTGATTCACTCTAAATTTAGTCAAAAATTAACACTATGTAAAAGAGCCTGTCCCACCTCACTTTCCTCCTCAGTTACTAGAAATGGGATATCTTCAAGGGAGTCCAAATGAAATTGTGCCCATTTTTTGCACTGGGCCAAGTCCCTGTCCATAGGATAATCAGAGACATTGCTGCAAAGATAAAAAGCCCCAAAAACAGACCCCTTCTTTCATTTTTGGGCAATTGTATCTGAAATTACCAGATTACAGACCTGCTACTGAAAACAACAAATGCTGGAGATCACAGCTGGTCAGACGGCATCTATGGAGAGACAGCAAGCTAATGTTACTAGTCTAGATGACTCTTCATCACAGCTGAAGTGAAGCGTGGAGAGGGACGGCATTTACGCTATAGTGGGGTGGGGGGTGATGTGGTGTATGGCAGTGGTAGGTGTAGAGTGCTGGTGGAGAAGAGATGTTGATAGCTCAGATTAAGTGATTGGAATATGAGAAAGGAACAATAATGGTGTGTCTAACTGCCAGACTTGAAAGAGAAGACAGTCTCACTAGGGTGGGGGGAGTGGAGCAAGGACACGGTGACAGAGAATGTATCAAGTAAAGCTAAAAGAGAGAGAAGGAACAGGAGCTGGTTCACAATTTGAAGGTGTTGAACTCAATATGAAGTCCAGAAGGCTGTAAAGTGCCTAGCCTGAAGATTCAAAAAAGATGGGTCTAACCTGAACTGGAAAGAGATCAACATCTCAGCAGGGAGATACGCTCATTCATAACGGAGTCTTTATACTGATAGACAGGGGGAGTGGAGGAATTCTAAGTAGCTGTGTAAATGGAAGGATTGATGGGGAAGGTTCTGAATGCGAGTGCAGCAAGTCAATTGGAAAAGAAAGACGAGAGAGTTAGAGTACGTAGTAACTCTGAAGAACTAAACTGCATTTATTTCAATGCAAGGGGTCTTACAA